AGGGACCAGATTCTATGCATCAAATCATAGCAGCATACTTAACAACAGTTTCTCTAAGAAAAGATACCTCATAAAAGGCCACAGATTTGCACCACAAACTACTGGAGTACCTAAACAACAACTCAGAATTGATTCCTATCAGCATAGGTCAGAGCCTAAGGATTTTGAAGTTCTGCTCAAGGTCTATTGAAGAAGGAAGCAACTGGACCCAGAAACTCCATATTTTCTCATCAAAAATTTAAAGAAAAGGAAAAGTAAGCCTAGAGCAAAGCCTAGGAAACCAAAGATTATCTTGAGAGGCAGGTCAGTTGCCAGTACCTAATAGAGGCACCATTTAGCAGACTAACAGAGAGCACAGAATAATCAAACTTTAGTGTGTTGAACAATTTAATTGAATACGTATGGCTCCTCTCTAACAGCTTAAATTTTTAGATGGGATAATTCATATGGTTACACAAAAGAACAGGGTTTAAGTCCTGCAGCCGACCAATTATTAAGAAATAATTAATGTGTTAGGCCTTGGACGGGAAAGAATGACCAGCCAAATCATGAGGGGACATGCATTATGAAGACTTGAAATGAATAAATATGGCCCATATCTAACAACTTAAGCTTTTACAAGAGATGGTTAACTTAGTGATATAGGCTAAACACTATCGATGGAAGCATTTTGTACTATGCGTAAATTGAATATTCGTGCAGACTTTGATCACCATCAAAAGATATGATCAGCAATGGATTTATAATCGTGTCATGTTAATATGATCAATGCTCTAAATTTGATGACATTTTACTTTTTGACCTCTAGAAATTTGGGTTAAGACTGTGTATCAGAGGATGAATGTGATACTAAATTCAGCTCAAATTGCATGGACCCATGTCTCAGTTAGACGTCTACAAGAGAAAGAGTCATGTACATATTGAATATAGCTTGTTCAAATGCAAATTTTCAAGATAAAAATTTTTGATAACATCCAAACTGAGGAAACAACTTCAATAAGGAAATACAGAAGATGCAAACCATCCAGTTGTATTGCGTCGTTCATAATTCTTTATAGTATCTTCCAATTCAAGCGCCTGCGTAACACAAGTAAGGTACTCACTGCAAAAACAATAACAGAAGAGAGCATAAAATATTTTAGCAAGAAGATAATCACAGTCTCACAGTTATGGAGTGCTACATAGTATTTGTTGGAGACAATGTTTATATGATATTCATGAGCCTTCTCTAACAGTTTTGAGCTTTTAGTTTTTAGATCAAATGGTTTATCAGTATTTTTTCTACATGGATTGCTAAAATAGATGATAAATTGGTGATTATGTTGGCAATTGCCATGAAATGAAAACTGATGCAGGTAATAACGACATTTTGTCCAAGTTTCCTACCGTGTGTGTGTTAAACTAAAATTCTAATGGTCCAAGGATGAAGGATCTAAGTTCGAAAAAGGTTGCAATCGGGTAAAAAATAAACAAGGTATTATCTCTGGTGTCACCGCCAAATCATGAAAAAACTGTGAAGCAGTCAGTGATCTTACATGTAGAAATACAGGTAGAGTGTGACTATAAAAAAAAGGGACAAGAAAAAGAATAAAAACACAAGATAAACTTAACAGTTAGCAACAATTTTGGCGAAGAACTAGAACTACATGAAAAAAACACAACAAAGAGCAAAAATAAAATTGATAAGCAGAAAACAGGAAAAAATAAACAAATAAAACAAAACAACAAAGCATTGAAGTGTTCACAGACAGATGTAGACAGATGCAAGAAGTATATTGAGAATGCAGAACAGAAATAATTCATCCAGGAGAATGCAAATAGTTTACTTAATAACTATACCTTTTGCATCGATAATACTCTTCGCGAGCTTGCCGAAGATGACGCCTGAGAGTTGCCATTGATTTCTCATCGGTATCATAATCCATATCATTTTCTCCCAACTGACCCCCTTGTGGCTTGAAGGAAGGATCTTCTTTGAACTAGGAAAATAAAAAGTGAACTGCATCAATAATAACCATATGTAGTGATTTCAACGCATTGAAATGTTTAAGAACCAGAAGTACCATTTTCACTAACATATTGTCAATGACAACCATAAGAGGTCTCAGTGGATCACGCTTGGACATCTGTTTAGATGTTGCCTGAGCAATCTAAAGAATATACCAAAAAGGAAAGGAAAAAGTTATACATATAATGAATCAGCCAAATATAAAAACTGAAAAATATTCATGCAAGGGGCAGTAATTTGTTGTTAAACATTTCATCCACATAATTTTAAATATATGCATGTTTGCCTCATCAAGGGGTAAAGACAAAATCAGCTGTATCACTCCCGATTATATATCCATATTCCAAAATAGATGGCGTAAATTGATAAGCACACAATTACAGGCAGCCTGCAAAAAATTGCAGTATTGAACCCCTAGAAAATTATAGGGTGCATAAAACCTCACTTTGCAGATATTTATGTTGTCAACATCCCCCATTCATGCTTATTTACTCTCAGCATTCGATTAAATCAGCTAGAGATGACAATTATTCTTAGTATTAGCTTCTAGCATATCCACATTCATAGTCTAGCACAACAACCTGATAGGACACCTGTCCAACTCACATCATATGCAAGAAAAGGATGAGGGCAGAAAAGGAAATTGCCAAAAGGGGAAATCAACAATCGCATGGAGGGGCTAA